GCAGCTCCATTCGTCCTCTGCAGAGAGTGAAGCCTCTGTGAGGGATCAAGCATTCCTTGTCTCTCACATCTCAGTGACGAACATCTTGGCCATGAGTGCTCACATCCCTACTTCCACAGCAGTGTCTGTCAAAGCAACAACCCGCCAATCCTATCATCCTGTGTGATGGTTAATCTTCATTGCCAACTTGATAAAACTTGGAATCACCTAGGAGACACACTTTGAGGGTGCCTGTGGGGATATTTCTAGAGAGGTTTAGATAAAGAGAGAAGACCCTGAACGACTGTGACACTATCCCATAGGTTAGGATTCTGGGATGAATAAAAAGAAGTAAGGTGTAAGTCAGGCGTTGGTGGCGCATGCCTTTAATCCCTGCACTCGGGAGGCAGAGGCAGGCGGATCTCTATGAGTTTGAGCCCAGCATGGTCTCCAGAGTGAGTGCCAGGATAGGCTCCAAAGCTTTACAGAGAAATCCTGTTTTGAAAAACCAAAAAAAAAAAAAAAGAAAGAAAGAAAGAAGAAGAAGAAGAAGAAGAAGAAGAAGAAGAAGAAGTAAGGTGAACACCAGCACTCACCTCTCTCTGTTTCCTGACTGTGGGTGCAATGTGACACCAGGAGCCTCATGCTTCCCCCATCATGAAATGAGTTATACCCTCAAACTGTGAACCAAAATAAGCCCCTCTTTCCTTAGGTTGCTTTGGTTATGTATTTTCTCACAGAAATGAGACATGTAACTAACACACTTAGTGACTAATACACTTAGTGACTTGTCTTTCCTCTGCATATTGTAGAAACCCACTAATGCATTCCCTTTCACTATGTACCATCCTATATGACCCCTGCAGAAAGCTTTCAAAATTAGGCTCCACAAGGCTTTCTGAGATGGCTTCATTTTACCAAACTTTGTGGTTTGGATCCTCAACAGGAGAATCTAAAATGGAATTTTTCTTGTCTGGTGCTTTTGAAAGAATACCCTTGAGATGAAGGCCTTTATGCACCCCATTGATCAGCTATTGACTGTTGGCTGCTCTAGGAAAGGGCAACCTTGACACTATGGTCCTTCAGTTGAAGCCATCTGTCAAACGTCTGCCAGCAATCTGGAATGATGCGGAGTGGTGACCACAGTGATGGTTCAGCAGCACTGTACTGAACAGCCCTTCGCTATTCTTCCTAAGTTGCGGCTCCCATGTGTGGTAGGTGAATGGGGAACTGTATTCCAGTGTCACCAACAGCCTTTTGGAACAGGATAAGAATAGAGCAAGAGAGAAATTGTCTTGGTTAATTTTTTTTTGATAGCTTGACATAAGTTAGAGTTATCACAGTTGAGAAACTGCATCCATCAGATCGCCTGTAGGCAAGTCTGTAGTGTATTGTCTTGATTAATGATTGATGTAGGAGGATCCAGTTCACTGTAAGTAGCTCCACCCTGTGGGCTGGAGGTCCTGGGTTGTATAAGAAGGCAGGCTGAGCAAGTCAAAGGGAGAAACCAGTAAGCAGTGTTCCTCCATGGCTTCTGCTTTGGTTCCTGCTTCAATGTTCTTGCCTTGGGTATAAGGCCCTGACTTCCCCC